CCCGGGGGGTCGGGCCCCGAGCGCGGCGACAAGGCGGGGCCTGCTTTCAGGAGCAGCTGGAGGAGTACGCGAGCAGGCATGACCTGGCCGAGGGCTGGCTCCTGGCGTGGAGGTTTGGAGGGGGAGGAGATAAGTTGGTGCCGGTTGAGTCCGCGGAGAAGATCCAGTGGCAGCACCAAACGCTCGGGGTTGATTACAAACCCGCGGTCAGGTATGGCCCCGGCCGGCTGCACCCCGGATAGGGACCGGGCTGCGGGCGCTGGAGGCGCGGGTGGCCGGTACCCACAGAGGACGTGCGACCCAACCATCCCAAATCCCCTGGGCGCGTCCAGCGCAGCCCCCCTCACTCCCTCCAGCGCGGGTGGGACACGTCGCTGCCGAGCCGGCTGCGGGCAGGAGGGTCCCCCCTCGTAGGCTAACCCTGTTTGCTTGTGGCAGCACCTGCGCAGGATAAAGATTATGCTAGGGGGTTTCTGAGGCACTCGGGTTTGGGCTGAGCGATGTCGCGGAGGTAATGCAGTGATGAGAGAGCTCGTATTTGATTTTCATGAGGATTCCCCCGCTCTGCCCCAGCCTGCACCTGGGTGCAGGGACACTCTCATCCCTCCCGCAGCTGTTCCTGCAGCCCCTGGGTGCCATCACTGGTCCCCCACCACTGCTGCCTCCACTCCAGGCTAAAGCAGTAATGCTTGGGCACGCTGAGCACTGACGCATCTTTTCCCTTGTGTGACTCCTCTGCTGGTGCTTCTCCAGCTGGGAACAAGTGGTGGACCTGACGTACTCCATGCGCCTGGGAGAGAAGCCCAGACTCTTAGAGCAGGACAAAGCTGCGGTGGAGAAGTTTCGGTACGAGTGCATCTCCTAGAGCGGTACTGCAGCACCCCAAGGGGCAGCTGGCTGGGCACTGGACATGCCTGTGGGGCCAGGATTGGCTTCAGGGTCGGGAGTGGGGAGGATGGGTGCCATGAGATATCTTTTACATTGATACCGTTCGACACTGCTCAAGCGAAGATGGCCTTTGCTCTGTGGAGCATCGGAGCAACCACGTGATGCTATTCCCACTGGGCTGGGGTGGCAATAAACACCTGTTGTGGTGGTGATGAGATACAGCCGTGCCATCTGCCTGCAGCAGGGACAGCTGCCTGGCACCATCCTGATGCGGTGACCATGAGATGCTGCGGCTGATCCGAGCTGTGGCACCTGCACAGTGCTGGTGGGCAGGTTTCGGGCGCAGCCTGGTCTCCCTGTCGTGTTAACACGGAGCCCCCCTGCAGGTCCGTGCCCCCGGGCTGGAGCTATGAGCATGACATGGAGCTGGGGCGCTTCCTGTACGATCACAGCGAGAGGGAGCTGCAGTGTGGGGACTGGACCAAAGAGCACCTCAGCAGCGTCGAGGTCTCCTCACAGGTGGTGCGTAGCGGGGCTCCTCCGTGGCCTAAAATCAGCATGAGACACACAAGCATCGCCACAGCTGCAGGGAGGAGTGGCCGGCGGTGGCTGTCCCCTCCGCGAGGGGCAGGGGATGGTGGTGGGGTTTTGCTGCTCTAGGGAAGCTATGAGGAGTTGGGCATCTGGAGCAAAACCCCATTGTGTCTCTGGGGTGTTGTGAAGGGTCCATGGCCACGCCCAGCTTGCTCTGTGCAGGAGCCACCATCCACCTGCAGCCCAGTGAACTGAGGGGCTGGCCTGGTCCTGAACTCCTCTGGCCCCACAGGACCTGTCCTGGGGGTGGCCATGGTGTGCCCAAGGATGCTCAGCTCCCTCCCTCTGCTTGCTGCACTCTTGCAGGAGGACTACAGCGCAGCCCATCTGACTGACAACCAGACATTCACCTTCTGGGAGAGCAACGGGCTCCTGGGGCAGCATTGGGTGCGGCTCAACATGAAGAAAGGCACCATTGTCAAGTGAGACCTCTGGGTGTCCCCGGCTGCTCCTAACTGTGCCAAGGATGGGCAGGGTGTGGGGAAGAACACCATCTTCCTCTTGAAAGCAGCTTTCCCTGGGCTGCAGCCAGGGGCTTGGGGTCAAAGGGGGGGCAGCTGCTGCCAGATGCACCCCAGGAGGACATAATCTTGCCCCCAGCCCTGGGACATCTCCAGGGGCATCTTCATGTCCAGACAGCTCGGGAGGGGAGGACAACACTGCACATTGCTCTTCTTGTCCCCAGGAAGCTGTGGCTGATGCTGGATGGGCAGGTCAGCTCCTACATACCCAGGCGAGTGGCCGTGTATGGCGGGGCACCGAACAGGCTGCAGCACCTGAGAACCGTCCTTATTAGCGAGTGAGTAACGAGTAAGGAGCAGCCTGGGTCCAGCTTGGGCCAAACACCCAAGCTGTCTCTGCATCCCGAGCAGACACTAAGGAAAGGGCTGCTGGGGTCAGTCCTGAGTGACCCAGCGGTGACAATGGCTTTCTGCGGGTCCCTGGATGCAGGTTACGTCTGTCCCCACAAGCGTGGTGGCCCCCCGCCTCCACATGCCAGTCAAGCACCTTCATCTCTACTCCTGCTCCTCATCTGTGCTGTGGCAGCTGGGCTCCAGTGTGCTTCCTCCTGCTTGGTGACTTTGGGGGTCTTTCCTCCTCCTCCTGCTCCTCGCCTCTGGGGACACACGTGCCACTGCTGTCTCCTTTCTGAGCATCTCTGCCATGCTGTAGCCAAGAAGTCCTAGGGTGCTTCACTTCTCCCTCTTTGCTCTGGCTCTGCAGCACCCTTCTCGAGGCAGGCAGGGATTTACACAGGGGTGTGAAGATCTCCTCCTCCTTCCCCAGAACTTGCCTGTTTGCCTTTTTTATGGCTGAGCAGTGAGATTTGTCCTTGAAGAAGCATCTATGAGACTGCCGAGGTCTCTTCCCTGGTGGCAGGAGCCAGCTCCTCTCTGTATCTGGGCAGTCACAGTGGTTTTTCCCCATGCTCCTTTACGTCTTTGATGGGACCGTGCCAAGGGCTTTGGAAATACAAGTGAATCACTTACCAAATTGGTCATCTCCACAAATCTGTTTCCTTCAAAACACATCACCCTCATGTGACCAGCTTGGCTTTAAGTATGGTTGTGCTGACGTGAGATGCGCCGGGACCCTCTGGGAACAGTGACATGCTCTCAGCCATCACTTCTCTGTTCTGCTTTGAATTTATGCTCTTTTCTGGCTCTTTGGATGTGGCTTCCATCTTCTTCAGGATGTCTCTGTGCCTCTGACAGCCTCTTCTCTCCACTTGGTCCCCTCCTGCCGCAGCCCCAGTGGGGCAGGGGGGCTTTTGCCACGGGTAGCAGCGCATCCTCGGCTGGGGAGCCAGAATGGCCCATGCCTTGCCTGCCGCCTCGCTGGTGTCTGTGCCTCGCAGCTCTGCCATCTCCCTCCGTGCTGTGTGCAGGAACAGCTTCCAGGACGTCTGCATCCTCCGCAACATGAAGACCCACCTGCCGGTGCTGGAGATCCGCATCCTGGAGTGCCGGGGTGAGCCTGCGCTGCCGGACTGGGGCTGCCAGTGCAGCCCAGTCCTAAACCTGCAGCTGGTCCTGGCACCTGCGACTCCTCCTGCCATGCCAGCTGCTTTTTTGGGTCCTTTGGGGGAAAAGCTAGGGAATGAGCTTCATTTGGGATGCCGCGGGCACTGGGGGCTCCTTGCCCCCAGTTGCAGCATCCAAGCCATGCCGGCTGCACAGCTGCAGCCGCACATGCAGCGTCACTGTCCTTTCTTGGCAGACCAAGGGTGCAATGTCCGCCTGCGAGGGATTAAGATCAAGTCCTTCTGGGAGTGGGACCTGATCCTCAACACTGACATGTTCCAGCCAGCCCGGCTGGTGCGCTACCCTCTCCTGGAAGGGGTGGACGCTGATGTGCTGTACCGGCGGGCCGTGCTCATTCAGAGGTAAGGCACCAGGATGGCACCATCCCCGCAGCGAGCCCGGACCCCGAGAAGGGCCGTGCCCTGGCCTCCAGCAGGACCTTGCATGTGTCTTGCTTAAAGTCTGCCAGCTCCTTTCCCACGTGCAGCAGGGACTTTGGCTTGCTGCTCCCCATCTGAACACGGCTGCTTCCAGTGCCTGGGGAGCACGGTGCTGGCACAGGGCAAGGGGAACCTGCAGTGTGGAGTCTCCCATCCCACTGCCTGCAGGGCAGCCCCAGGCTGGGGTCAGCACTGGCCCCACAGAGAGACCCTCTGCAACGAGTCAGCCGCAGCGCTGTGCTGTGGGCTGGGCTGCCCTCGTTTGCAGCTTTTTCTTGGGGGGTACAAAATAAAGCACCTGGCTAGGGGGTGCTGGTTGGGTGCTCCCCTTGGTGTGCCAGGGTCCCTCCATGAGGGAGCGCAGTGGCCGGGCTTGGTGTGTGCCTGGGGCTGTCTGCAGTGAAACACCGTGGGTGTATTGGACTCCACATGTCTGTCAGCCCCCTCGCATCCTCATGCTGCTCCTCTCCGGTCTCCAGGTTCGTCCAGCTCCTGGACAGTGTCCTGCATTACCTGATCCCCCTCTCTGAGGACGGCATCGGCACTTTCAATGCACTCAGGGTAAGCATTTGCTGGACTCCCTGGGGATGGTACAGGTAGGAACATCTCATCACGGGCTTGGCTGGTTTCCCCGGGGATTGTGGCATGTCCCCCTTGATCTCATGGGGACAGACTAGCCCAGGGCTCATGCTGAGAGCTGCCGTGCTGGGCATTGCCAGAGGGATGGGGGAGCTGAGCATCCCCTGCGACATGGGGGACTGTGTGCTTGGGGAGGGGGAAAGAGGGCACACAGCAGCAGGATCAGGCCTCTAACCATCCCTGCTCATCCCCTGCTAGA